GCTCTACCACTTGAGCCACAGCGCCACTTCCAGCTTTTTTTTCTTTTTGCTTATGTGGTGCTGAGGAATCGAACCCAGGGCCTCGAGCATGCAAGGCAAGCGCTCTACCACTGAGCCACCTTCCCAGCCCTCAGTATTTCTTAAGGACAAATATTTCATTCTTTTTTCTTTCTTGGAGGTTGTCAGGCTTAACCCCAGGGCTTTGGCACTGTCCCTGATCTTCTTTTACTCAGGGCTAGTACTCTACCGCTTCAGCCACAGTACCACCTCTGGTCTTTTCTGTTTATGTGCTACTTAGGAATTGAACCCAGGGCTTCACACATGCTAGGCAAGCATTGTATCGCTAAACCACGTTTCCAGCCTACACTTGCATAAGATATGGCACCAGCCACCGTTTCACACAGTCATGAGACCAGAAGTACAGATACCTAATCCTAGAATGCCACCCTGAGATGTTCAGTGGCCATTTCTGCTGCGTTGTCACCACCCACACTGGTCTACCTCAGCCCCTTGGCTCTCTTCCCTTCTCCTCCCCACCACGATACTTCCTGTCTGCACCAATACTGCACCACACCCACCCCTGCGTGTCTAGCCTGGCATCATCCGTGGACCGAGCATCTGCAAAGATCCCCCCATCTTGGAAGGCCCCTCGAGGGCTTGGCTGGCTGGACATTGGTTCAGTCCCGGGAGCGAGCGGTTCAGGAACTTGAGGACTCATCCATTCTCAGTGTCTCCAGCGTGGCATTTCCACATGGTGGCAGACGAGCTCTCACACCGCTGCAAGTACGCGTGCCAATTGCATACGCACTCACTTTGTCCCAGCCAAGAAAGGGGCCTGGCCCTCAATCCACCCCCTGCGGTCCTGTGCATGCTACAGAGCCATCACGGAAGCAGCTGACCATGGACTCCACCCTGGAGGCCTTTGTACACGGCTGGTACTTGCTGCTCCACACTTGAATATCCCCCTCCTCCCCAGAATCTGATAGTACCTGTCTGGTCAGGTGGCTGTTGTGGGGACCCTAAATGGAGCCCTAGGGCTCCAGGGAAATCACGGCGTTCCAGGGACCCAGTTATACAAAGCTTGTCCCTAGGAATCTCAGCTTCCTCAACAGCCTCTCAGTGCTCTCAGTCCAATACCTTATTCCTCCCCGCCCTCCCCTCCCTCTCCCCCCCATGAGAAATCCATTGACGTTTGAATATTTTCCTGCTGGAGCCCTTCGCAGAGCTGTGAACAGGCAAGTGTTGTGCCGCTGCATTCAGCCCTGATTATTCCTAAAGCCATCTGGGTCACCAAAAGTGTAGAATACACCGAGCCTCATTTGTTTCCTCATTTTTGTAAGCATCTTTGTCTTACCTTTGTTATTTACCTTTCTAACATTGTAATACAATTTAAAGGACAAAAGATGTATTTGGATTCACTACTTCAAAGGATTCTTCTGTTCTTCATTCCTTGGACCCGTGCCCTGGGCAGAACATGAGGGCAGTGGGGAGGTGGAGCAGAGGAATTCCCACACCTCATGTCAGCAGAGGCTGAGGGAGAGAGGGAAAATGACAGAGAGAGGAGAGGGGGAGAAGGAGTGAGGGAGAGTAAAAAGGAGAGCAGAATAGTTTCCTCCTGGTATGACCTACAAGGACATACCCCAAATGACCTGCTTCCTCCACCCAGAATTCCACATGCTTTCTAGAAGAGCCCATCGACTGGGGACAATGTAGGATGTACGGGCTGGGAAGGTGGCTCAGTGATAGAGCACTTGCCTTGCAAGCATAAGGCCCTGGGTTCAAGTCCTCAGCACCACATAAACAGAAAAAGCTGGAAGTGGCACTATGGCTCAAGCCTTGAGTTGAAAAGCTGAGAAACAGTGCCCAGACCCAAAGTTCAGGCCCACGACCGGATTCCACCCCCCCAACAAAAAGAAAACAGGAGTCTATTGAGAATATTTCATTATCAAAACATAAGAACATGAATATATTCTACTAGGCAAAGAAAAAAAAACTAGATAGCAAGCATAGGTGAAATTTTTTGGAAAATTCTCAGTATCTTTACATTTGGTCACTGATTTATTTCTAATTTTGAATATATACATGCATCTTATGGCAAAGTACAATGCTAACATACTTTCAAAGCAACTTGTATTACTTACTGTAAAGAAAATATGCTAATCAGCAACCTGAAAATGCATACTTTGAGAAGTTATACTGAAAAACACATTTCCTTCCCCACAGTATTGAAAGTATTACACCAGTGACTACTTCCACGCTGTCTAAGGCTGAAGGCTATACTAGAAACTTTCATCCACAAATCACACTTTCCTTTCCAGTCTGTTCTTATCCTTGGGAGTTTACATGAGTGTGAATGGCTCCCCACCCCTGGGCGTGTTTACTTTCATGCTGCTTAAGGTGAGAGGAATTCCAGAAGCCTTTCCCACAGAGCTGACACACATGCTGGTGTGCTCTCTTATGCTTCCTCATGCTCGAGTGTCTGAAGGTTTTCCCACAGAGCTCACACTCTGGCTTCTCGGCACTGTGCGTTTGCTCGTGGTCCTTAAGATTAGAACACCTCACAAAGGCTTTCCCGCAGAGGCCACACTCGTACGGCTTCTCTCCTGTGTGCGTCCTCGTATGCTCCCTAAGATGCGATGGCCTAGTGAAGGCTTTCCCACACCGAGGGCACGCGTGTGGCTTCTCCCCAGTGTGTGTTTTCTCGTGCATCCGGAGGCTAGCGGACCTCACAAAGGCTTTCCCGCAGCGCTGACACGCATGCGGCTTCTCCCCAGTGTGGGTTCTCTTATGCTGCCACAGGGCCCTTGCGTGACTGAAGGCTTTCCCGCAGCGCTGACACTCATATGCTTTCTCTGCAGCATGCATTCTCTCATGCTTCTTAAGGTGAGCCACCCTAGCGAAGGCTGTCCTGCAGAGGTGACATTCGTGTGGTTTCTCTCCAGTATGCGTTCTCTTATGCTCCTCAAGATGCGATGACCTAGTGAAGGCTTTCCCACACCAAGGACACGCGTATGGCTTCTCCCCAGTGTGTGTTTTCTTGTGTACCCTAAGACCAGTCGACCTCACAAAGGCTTTTCCGCAGAGCTGACACACATGGGGCTTCTCCCCAGTGTGTGTTCTCTCATGCACCCTAAGATTGGATGACTTAACAAAGGCTTTCCCGCAGCGCTGACACACATACGGCTTCTCCCCAGTGTGGGTTCTCTTATGCTCCTGAAGATAAGCTGGCCTGGTGAGGGCTTTCCCACAAATAGGACACACATATGCTTTCTTTCTTTGCTCGTGTTCCCAGAGCTTATATGGCCCAGTGAAGGCTTTGCCAGAGACGAGGCATTCGTATGATTTCTGCCCAGTGTGTGCTCTGCTGTGTTTCCTGAGGTTACATGAATAGCTGAAGGCTTTCCCACAGATAGGACAGGTGTATGGTTTTTCTCTACTGTGCATTCTCTCATGCTCCCTGACAATAAATTGCCTGCTGAAGGCTTTCCCACAGATAGGACAGGTGTATGGTTTTTCTCTACTGTGCATTCTCTCATGCTCCCTGACAATAAATTGCCTGCTGAAGGCTTTCCCACAGATAGGACAGGTGTATGGTTTTTCTCTACTGTGCATTCTCTCATGCTCCCTGACAATAAATTGCCTGCTGAAGGCTTTCCCACAGATAGGACAGGTGTATGGTTTTTCTCTACTGTGCATTCTCTCATGCTCCCTGACAATAAATTGCCTGCTGAAGGCTTTCCCACAGATAGGACAGGTGTATGGTTTTTCTCTACTGTGCATTCTCTCATGCTCCCTGACAATAAATTGCCTGCTGAAGGCTTTCCCACAGATAGGACAGGTGTATGGTTTTTCTCTACTGTGCATTCTCTCATGCTCCCTGACAATAAATTGCCTGCTGAAGGCTTTCCCACAGATAGGACAGGTGTATGGTTTTTCTCTACTGTGCATTCTCTCATGCTCCCTGACAATAAATTGCCTGCTGAAGGCTTTCCCACAGATAGGACAGGTGTATGGTTTTTCTCTACTGTGCATTCTCTCATGCTCCCTGACAATAAATTGCCTGCTGAAGGCTTTCCCACAGATAGGACAGGTGTATGGTTTTTCTCTACTGTGCATTCTCTCATGCTCCCTGACAATAAATTGCCTGCTGAAGGCTTTCCCACAGATAGGACAGGTGTATGGTTTTTCTCTACTGTGCATTCTCTCATGCTCCCTGACAATAAATTGCCTGCTGAAGGCTTTCCCACAGATAGGACAGGTGTATGGTTTTTCTCTACTGTGCATTCTCTCATGCTCCCTGACAATAAATTGCCTGCTGAAGGCTTTCCCACAGATAGGACAGGTGTATGGTTTTTCTCTACTGTGCATTCTCTCATGCTCCCTGACAATAAATTGCCTGCTGAAGGCTTTCCCACAGATAGGACAGGTGTATGGTTTTTCTCTACTGTGCATTCTCTCATGCTCCCTGACAATAAATTGCCTGCTGAAGGCTTTCCCACAGATAGGACAGGTGTATGGTTTTTCTCTACTGTGCATTCTCTCATGCTCCCTGACAATAAATTGCCTGCTGAAGGCTTTCCCACAGATAGGACAGGTGTATGGTTTTTCTCTACTGTGCATTCTCTCATGCTCCCTGACAATAAATTGCCTGCTGAAGGCTTTCCCACAGATAGGACAGGTGTATGGTTTTTCTCTACTGTGCATTCTCTCATGCTCCCTGACAATAAATTGCCTGCTGAAGGCTTTCCCACAGATAGGACAGGTGTATGGTTTTTCTCTACTGTGCATTCTCTCATGCTCCCTGACAATAAATTGCCTGCTGAAGGCTTTCCCACAGATAGGACAGGTGTATGGTTTTTCTCTACTGTGCATTCTCTCATGCTCCCTGACAATAAATTGCCTGCTGAAGGCTTTCCCACAGATAGGACAGGTGTATGGTTTTTCTCTACTGTGCATTCTCTCATGCTCCCTGACAATAAATTGCCTGCTGAAGGCTTTCCCACAGATAGGACAGGTGTATGGTTTTTCTCTACTGTGCATTCTCTCATGCTCCCTGACAATAAATTGCCTGCTGAAGGCTTTCCCACAGATAGGACAGGTGTATGGTTTTTCTCTACTGTGCATTCTCTCATGCTCCCTGACAATAAATTGCCTGCTGAAGGCTTTCCCACAGATAGGACAGGTGTATGGTTTTTCTCTACTGTGCATTCTCTCATGCTCCCTGACAATAAATTGCCTGCTGAAGGCTTTCCCACAGATAGGACAGGTGTATGGTTTTTCTCTACTGTGCATTCTCTCATGCTCCCTGACAATAAATTGCCTGCTGAAGGCTTTCCCACAGATAGGACAGGTGTATGGTTTTTCTCTACTGTGCATTCTCTCATGCTCCCTGACAATAAATTGCCTGCTGAAGGCTTTCCCACAGATAGGACAGGTGTATGGTTTTTCTCTACTGTGCATTCTCTCATGCTCCCTGACAATAAATTGCCTGCTGAAGGCTTTCCCACAGATAGGACAGGTGTATGGTTTTTCTCTACTGTGCATTCTCTCATGCTCCCTGACAATAAATTGCCTGCTGAAGGCTTTCCCACAGATAGGACAGGTGTATGGTTTTTCTCTACTGTGCATTCTCTCATGCTCCCTGACAATAAATTGCCTGCTGAAGGCTTTCCCACAGATGTGACACTCATATGGTTTCTCTCCAGTGTGTGTTCTGCTATGTCTCTTAAGTTCGCTTGGCCTTTGGAAGGCTTTCCCACAGAGAGCACACACATGTGCTTTCTTTCTAGCGCGTGTTCTCTCATGACTCCTAAGAGGAGACGGCCTAGTAGTTGCTTCCGCACATAGGGGACCTTCATGTACCTTCCCTCCGGTGTGCATTTTCTCCTGCTGCCTAACGTGACTCCACTGATTGGAGGGTTTGGAACACAGATGGAGGCCATAAGCTTTCTGTCTAGTGTCTCCTCTATCCTGCCAGCCCAGCTCACTGGAACCACTGTGTGCACGCCCCAGTTCACTACCACCACACGCTTTGTCTGCACCATGCGTCTGACTGTGACTGAACTTTGGAGAAGGAACAAAGGCTGTGCTACACAAACTACAAGCATGTGATTTCTCTCCAGTGGGAGTTACACCGTGGTTACAGTGTTCATAGTTTTCAACAAAGACTTTAGCACATAGATCACAGTCACATCGTCTGTTTTCCTCCAGAGACTTACTGCATTGTCTAACGTCCAGCCGATTCTTAAAGCCGTTACCAATTGGATGATCAATCTCTCTGTGTTCCAGGTGCTCAGGAGTAGGTGAGTATTCACGGTGCTTTTGTCCACAAC